GCAGACGGACGGACAGAGCGAGCGGACGATTCAAACGCTTGAGGATATGCTCCGAGCATGTTTTTTGGATTTTGGAGGGAGCTGGGACACCTATCTACCTTTAGCAGAGTTTTCGTACAACAACAGCCATCATTCGAGCATTGGTATGCCACCCTTTGAGTTGTTGTATGGGCGGAGGTGTCGCACCCCCATCTGCTGGGGAGAGGTGGGGCAGCAGGTGATGGGTAGCATGGAGATTGTACTCCAGACGACCGAGCAGATTCAGCAAGTCAGGCAGAGGTTGTTGACCGCGCAGAGTCGCCAGAAGAGTTATGCGGACAAGCGTCGGTCCGAGCTTGAGTTTCAGGTTGGTGATCTTGTGCTCCTAAAGGTCTCTCCTTGGAAAGGAGTGATACGATTTAGGAAGAGAGGCAAGTTGGGACCCCGATATATTGGACCCTTCAGGGTAATTGCTAGGGTATGCCGGGTAGCCTACCGGTTGGATCTACCTGCTAAGTTGGGGCAAATCCATGATACCTTTCATGTCTCGCAGTTGAGGAAATGTATTGCCGACGAGTCGGCAGTGGTGCCATTAGATGATATTCAGGTGGATGCAGGTCTGAAGTATGTGGAGAGACCAGTAGCGATCAGGGATCGGAAAGTTTAGGTTCTGAGGAACAAGGAAGTAACCCTGGTACAAGTGCAGTGGCAACATCGGAAGGGGTCCAAGATGACATGGGAGTCTGAGTCCGATATGCGGGATCAATATCCAGAGTTGTTTTCAGTATGAGACTTCGGGGGCGAAGTCTGGTTCTAGTGGGGGAGAATTGTCACAGCCCAAAATTCAGGTATTCTTCTTTTTGGCCCTGCATCTTGGTTATGTTGTTAATTTAGGGCTTTCATGATAGGCGAGTAAGCTGGGCGTACAAGCTGTACGCTGCGCGTACTCGCGCGCCTCATTTGGATGCGTTCACCCTCAGGTACGCTGGGTGTACCCAACGTTACGCATGGCGTAACTTGCCCAGATCTAAAAACCTTAATTCCTTTGGAGGGTTATAAAAGGAATGTGTGGCTGGACTGAGATCTAGGATGGGCATTTATCATTTTCGGTTTACGAACATATTTAATGTTTAAGGGCTAGAATTGGGTGAATTGGATGGAGAAGAGGAACTTAAGGTCGCTTCTTGGGTGGAGAGAGAGAGAGAGAGAGAGAGAGAGAGAGAGAGGTGGGCCCCTTCTTATTTTTTATTATTAAAATAAATAAATTAGTATTAGATATAAAAAAATGAAAGAAAAATAGAAAATAAATACCCTAAGGGTATTACAATCAATTCACTATTTGGAGGGATCAAAAACGCAATGAAACTAGTTCAAAATGACCACCAATCCAAAAAAGTCATGGTTTGGATTAAAACTCCAAAAAAATGCATACCACTAAGACGATTTTTGCAGTTTTGTCTAAATCATTTCTTCATTTTTAGTATACGTGTATGTTAAGTTGTATGTTTTTTATAATTTTTGTGGAATGTTTGAGTTATATGAAAAAAAGTAAATGGTAATTTTTATTAGACAAAACTATGTGCTTTCAAGAGATATAATTTTTAAGTTAAAAAAAACCTCAAAAACTTTTAACAAATGGTATTTGGTATTTGGGCGTATTTGGTCATACTAACCCTAAACTTCAATTAACCACTCGTCGACTGCCTTACCTCCTCCCTAACACCCCGTTCCCGAGTTCAATTTAAAGAGAGAAAAGAAAGGAAATGAGTGGAAGTGGGAGGAAAGTAAGAGAAATTGGTGTTCCCGAGTTTCATTAAAGGAGGGAAGTGGAAGGAAATGGAGGGATCACTTTCCCTCCTAACTTTCCTTCCGATTTGGAAGGATTTGAAGAGAAAGAACAAAATGTTTAACTTTCCTTCCATTTCTCTCCAACTCGGGAACACAAAACACAAATTTCTTTTTCTTTCTCTTCTCTTCTTTTCTCTCCTTACTTTCTTTTCTCTTCTCTTCTTTTCTTCTTTATCTGCTACAACTCGGGAACGGGGTGTAAATCACAAAATACCTCCCCCTTCCCCCCTCCACTATCCACCGTTTTCACCCCACCACTAATCTAGACGATAAGGGTTACTATCCTTGATCAAATTTGAATGAGCCGCCGCCTAAGAACATCAATTCTCTAGATCATTAGTTACTCGTTTATTTGGGTTAATCGATCCAGTTCTGAACAGGTAAACTCTAGATCTCCAGTTACTCGTTTATTTGGTCTATGTATTCACCCATTCCCCTTACTCTGCCATTTCATTCATGTTTTAGTTTCAGTTTCAGTTTCCGTTTCCTCACATAGGATTTGTTCAGAAACTGATGATCCTCCCTGTAATCACCTTGTGTTATTTTGAGTTCAAAACATTGATAGTTTGTTGAATTTTTTGTTTTCTTCTCGGATTCCATTGAATTGTGATCTTGACAGCTTTCCTGATTCCATTACTTGAGAATCTTGTTCTTTCAACAAACCCATGACCTGTTTCATGGCGAATAGGATTAAGAAAAATAAGGTAAGGAATGATGGTGATTACATTTGGTTATCATGTTTGCTTAGCTTGAATGACCGGAATGAGTCATTCAAACCTCTTGTTTGTTGGTATTATGTAATATTAGAAAACTAAATGAACGTATATTGATAAATAAAAAAAGGATAGATATTTTTTTTTTTACAAATAAAAAAAGAGACGATGATTGCTTTTTCATCTTAAACTAAATTTCTTCTCATCACATATAAATATGATCCATAAAATCAAAATCTCAGGTGATAACAAATGGGTTTCTACTTCTAGGTTTGTAATATGGTTGATATGTCTTTGTTTTGTCATTATTTTAGACATTTGACTAATAATCAAATACACTTGCTTCATTCCACTTCATCATTTTGCAAATCATCAATGTTGGCTTTGTTTTCAGGATGATAATAAAAATTCCAGAAGTGACAGTTGAAACCCCCTGTTCAAATGATGATGATGATGATTTTGGCCTTATTGACAATAACCATTTAACTCCATTACAAGTCGCATAATTATTCGATTCCATTCTGGGTTAACTAAAAGCCCATATATGCAACATCAAGGTTAAATAGCCATCACTCAGATTATAGATTCATATGCTTGGCATTCAAGCAAAGGTTTTACAACATGAAAACTTTGATGTTATACTACTCAAACAAGAAAAATGCGTAAATATCATACAAAATGTTTATTCATTGATAAAAAAAAAATAGTTGAATTCGATGGCATGATGTTAAAGATTATTTACAGCTAGATACAAAGTATCTTCATCACCTTAATAGCTTTGACTACAGATATAAAAATCCCAAGGCTCATAATATTGAAAAAATGCATAGCTTTTCAAGAAATATCATTATACCCTCTAGAACTAAATTTCACCTTAAGTACATTCTCATTATCATCAAGTATACGGATCACTCTCTCCTTAAGAAGCTCAATAATGAGATGAAATATACGTATTTTGACTTGACCTCGTCTAGGTGGAAGCCTTGCATGCGGTTTCGTTAAACTCAAGCTTTTCGACATGTGTTTTTTTTTTCTAAAATAAAAGATTCAATCTTGGAGGAGATAATTTGATGTGTTGAAGTATGAGGACATATATATACCACACAAATGCATTGGTCTTTGGTACTACATGTATACCTTGGAAGACACGAAATTTAAGTGGCAATAATAGCTACATTTCTAACAGTTCACACGAGATAATTCGATTATTGGAACATTAAGAGAATAAACAACATGAAGTTTTGAGTCGATTCAAAGTGTTGACAAAAAAAAGGAAAGAATAGTCGCACGATATATCCAACATGTTCCCTTTGAAAAGGGCTACCACCCACCAATGCCCCTTTGACAAACAAATTGTTGTTTTCTTAAACATAGTATAGAACAGAAGCTTCAAGAAATCAAAAGTGTGAAAAAATATCGGAGAAATCAAAAGGAATCGTATCCAGAAAAAAATCTCTTTTTTGAGTACCGACTGACGTGTTTCGGATGGGACCCACCTGTTCTTGAGGCTTTTGACCAGGTACATCATACATGACAACATATCATCTTTCGTTCATGTATTCAATGTATCACAAGGAATTGGAATTTTGAATTCTTTACTCTAGTGTTTTTGGTTTTCAAACTAAATATTCAAGTTGCTGGAGATTCCTTCAAAATCCATGTTTGGGGGATTTCATCATCGTACGAGTGGTTTGGTAACAATTGAGTTTCATTGTTCAGATTTCCATCAAAAGAATAAATTAGAACGTAAACACATTCTTTTATTATCTATGCATTGCTATCATAGCAAAAGAAATGTGATTAAATTCTATTTCATTTTCTACCAATAAACACATCAAAGATTGCAATTCCTTCATATTTTCATTTCATACAAATTACAATTCTTTTCACTGATTTCATTTCTTCCAAAAGCATTTTCCACCAAACGACCTCTAAGAGTTAGAGACGAAAACTCAAATCTCTAATCCAAAATCATGCTCTAGATGTCCATGACTCAACTTTAAGAAAAAGTAAAGTCGTTTTTGCACAATCATGCATATGTTCATGTTGTCAAAAGTGGTGACTGCCTTTGAGCCGGTGAATAGATTTTCAAGACTAGTACTAAAAATCCGAAGCTTCATAATCTTGAAAAAATAAACAGATTTTCAAGAAATACCATACTCTCTAGAACTAAATTTATATAAGAGTTTACCGCTATGATTACGTTATTGACATAGTCACGATTTTCAAGAATCATGCATTCAATATTGGAGGAGAGATTCCGTGTGTTGAAAGTGGATAATGATACAAATTTATCTAATTAACCACCACAATGATAACTAAAACACGAAGAGAATAATTAAAAAATCAGAAGTCAAGTCACTTTAAAACTTTATAAAACCCAACATGTTGTTTTCCTAAAAGCAAAATGCAGACCAAAAGAAAAAAAGAGACATCAGTAGTTTGAATATAATTCTTTACGTAAGACCTACGATAATATGAAACTCAAACTTTTAAAGCATCAACTAGCTAGCAGTTTAGTTTACTGATTACAAGAGCATTAAAGAACAATCTTGTTAACACTTCTAGACATTTGGATCATGCATCAATAGCGTTGAATTCTTGCAACTCCTTAAAGTTCATCCATGGCTTCACCAAAACTTTAGCTTCATATACTCGACCATCTTGTGCCTCCAATGTCAGATAGTACATCTTACTAGTCATCACCTGCTTTCTTGCCTTTACCAATCTATCAAACTCGATTATGCAGTTCTGCATACAAAATCCAAATAATTCATAACTTATATAGAATCCATACATTGTTCATTGAACTCATCTCTCGATTTCCTTATAACAATAAACATAAATATGATCATATAGTTAATTTGTTCCAATCATAAAACCGAATAATTTAAATCTGTGTTATACGTTCCTCGAACTTTCGATAAATACATTTCAAACTGGAGACGAATACTAATCAATTACTTACTGAAAAAGCAAACATGTATCCGATCGTTGATTATCAAACATTCACAATCAGATCAATATTGGAAGGCTCGATCGTACAAATCAAGAAACAGTACGTACCACATGTTTGGTGTGTTCTTTGGCGGCGAATCTGGCGAGGTTTTCCATCGCGGTCGCGTTTAGGCATTTTCCGGTAATATCACGAATTCTACCTGCCTTTTGCACGTTTATCACATCACCACAATCACATTCACCTCTTTCAATCCCCAAATAAAGATACGTCAAAATCAATAAGATAGCGATCATCAGAAATGATTCAACACTTTTAGGTTTCATGGTTTCGAATGGTGCGTCGTTTTTTATTCAGTAGACCGATGCGTTGTGTCTGTGTTTCCTAGCAAAGAATGAAAGTAACGAAAAGGATTGAGAAGAATGGAGAAAAATGTATGAACTTTTATACAACGTTTTAATTTATTTGTAAATCCTCGACTATAATAAAAGATCCTCTACTGTAATACTACGGCTTTTCCTAAGCTTGCCCCCAAAACTTTTTCCCGCTCCTTTTTGTTATTGTCAAATACCCAAAATACCCTTAGTTTCTCTATTAAAAACTGCTTTCTGCATTGAAGCTTCCTGTTCTGCCCCTGTTGACTGGATATATCCATGCTGTCCGATAGCTGTAAATCCGTTAAATAAGCTAATTGGATATATATTACCTTTATATTTTATATTTTCTCTACTTTTGATTGTTAACTGAAAATCTGGTCACCATATTTAACTGAAAACATATCACAGCCTTATTTAATGTGATAAACATAATATCTCCAAATTTTAATAAGATTTTTTAACGATTTTCTTGGTTAATCTCATTGTATTTCAAATAAATAGTTCTCACCTTTCTCATAATTTCCTTCACAATTCCGTCCTTTAACATATCTGTCTCTTTTTTTGTTCATTTTCCATAATATACATGAAAAATATTCACAACTTGAACATTAATACTACAACTTAAAAAATATGACCATTCCTGCAAAAAGATCCACAACTTCTTCATGATCATATCATATCAATAAAGTATTTAGAATCCCATATTTTCTTTTATTTACTATTGAATATCTTTATGTGGAAACAGATTTATCGATGCTTCACATCTACTTTTTTTTTTTTTTTTTTTTTTTTATACATACGAACTTCTTATAATGCTTCACATATCTTTATTGTTTTATTCAATCATGCCTTTTATTAGTTAATAATTTATAAATAAAGGAATGATGTCTAATTTTGCATATCGAGTGGCCTTACAGGATTGCGCCTTGAGCCCATAGTCTCCCGACTGGATTGCCCCTTGGGCCCACAATCTCCCTACTCGATTGCTACTGACCCGGTCTATGTTGACATATGCAACATATAACCATATAACCAGTAAGTACAAGTAATCATAAAGATCTATCAATCTAACATATAACCAGCATATGCAGATAATCATACACATCTACCAGACTAACATATAACCAACATAACATCATCCTATATATCAGGATATATAACCTATTGGGTCAATATTGTTGCCTTCGACCCACAAGTATAGTGAGGAAAACTCGCCTTATAGTCTAAAATATAGCTAAATTGATAACTGCTCTAAAGTTTGTCTATACAGGTCACCTATGCAATAGATAGGGACCAAGTCTCAATCTACTATTCAAATTACCCTAAAATGTCCTAAAGTCAAACTTGGTCAAAGTCAACATTTAACGATTAAAAGTCAAAGATCAACATTAGACCGAGTGCACCCTGCGTACTCCAGCTCTACGCCCTGCATAGGGTGTTGCTTGGCTTTTACATGGCAATTCAGGTCTATGCGTTGCGTACCCATATGTACGCCCTGCGTACTAATGCTAAAGCCAAACTTCTCCTTAAGCCCTTATTTCAATAATACCCTTCACCCAATACTCAAATCTAACCCTAATGAGCATTCTAAATCATAAAGTTTCCAATTTTATGTCTTTACATGGCTACAAAGTGTCCAAATCAAAAACCTTAACTTATCACAAGATCCTAGGCTCCACAACTCATGTATGGATTGAAATAGAGGACGAAGATTGCATATAACTCCATGCACTAAAAAACGTCTGAAAATGCTACTAATAAGGTGTGGATTAGCTCATACCCAATTAGACCAAGAATATGTAACAAAAAAGGACATAAACCTAAAGCTAACAAGATCTATCAAGATGTTCATCATGTTCTGAACTTAATACCTCTTAGAGAATGCTTAAGATATGCAAATCCTAGATCCACATGGCTTCAAGCTTTACAAGAACCACCACCACCTTCTTCTTCCTTCAAAAGCACCAAAAAACATACTTTTAAGCTTACAATATACTAATATGGCGTTAGGATTTCAAAGGATTCGCTTGGAGAAAGGGAGGCTGAGAATGGAAGATGTTCGTGAAGGCTAAGGTGTTTAAATAGGTCTCAAAACCTCGAATTTACGGTTTAGACTTTGGTTGAGTACGCCATGCGTACTTCCAATCTATGCCCCACATAGTTCATTAAAGTTCCGTCCACAGTTTCCTTTCTATGTCGCGCGTAGAGGCTATCTACGCCCTGCGTAAATCAAAAATTCATACTTACACTTAAAAAATATAGAAATGAATTAACTACAAGGACCGGGCGTTAAAATTCTCACCCACTTGAATCAAACTTCATCCTTGAAGTCCGGTGTTACGAATAATTTGGGTAGTGCTCGCGCATCTCTGCCTTGGGTTCCCATGTCCAATTGGAACCCTTCCAATGTTGCCACTGAATCTTGACTAAAGGTACCAATTTGTTACAAAATAGCCACCAGCCTCTCCATATAATTCAGACACTCGTGTACCTGAATATCGTCCATGGGGAACACAACGGAATCTTCAACCAAACACTTCCGAAGTTGAAAACATGAAAGGTGCTATGAATCGAACTAAGTTCCACAAACAGATCCAGTTGATAGGCTAACCTGTCTATGCTCGTTACTACTCGGAACGATACAATAAATTGGGTCCCCAACTTGCCCCTCTTCCTGAAGCATGTAACACGCTTCCAGGGGGATACCTTCACTAAAATTGTATCCATGACATGGAACTCTATCTCAGATAATTTTCGGTCGACATAACTCTTCTATCGACTATGGGATGTCTGTAATCTCTGCCTGATTTGTTGGATAAGCTCCGTAGTTTGAAGGCCTACCTCGGTCTTACCCATGACCTTGTGGCCAACCTCTTCCTAACAAACTGGTATACAATACTTCATTCTATAGAGAATCTCGAAGGGAGGTGCTCCAAAACTATAATGATAATTGTTGTAGTAGGACAACTCATCTAGGGGAAGGTAAGAATCTTGCCTCCCAACTGTCTTGCCTGGCTAATCCTTACTTGATAGATCTTGATGTAGACTTTGGGATTGTCGAGGAATCTAAGTCCTTACGATAATAAGTTCCATGAAATATGAAATTAGACTAAGAACTATATATATATATATATATATATATATATATATATATATATATATATATATAGGTCTTTTGGAAAAGGTCTAAGGTGAAGCTCTGACCGATTTACCAATCACCAAACATTTTGTCAAGTGATTGCATAGTTACTTTCATCTTACACATAGATATAAAATATCTAATTAATTAATTGCTATATGTGCTTATGTGCAAAGATTTTATGTGTTATAGAAATGTTACGAAGATATGTTAAGGATTTATACCATATATGTATGTCATAAATATAATACATTGGGTAACAAAGGGTAGTAATAGATGTCATGGTATAATAAAAGATGTAGGCAATGAAAGAATGCCACAACTATAGAAATGGTACTAGTGTGCCAACGATATAGGAAAGGTACTAGTGTACCAATGATGTAGTCACCTAACAAAGTATATGTAACAACCATCAGAATATTCATGACCCTCTCGTAGAACACTAGCAACGATGGTCTTCATGCCTAAACACTAGCAGTGATGGACTTTGTGCCCATTAGATAAACACTAACAACGATGGACTTCATGCCTAAGCACTAGCAACAATGGACTTCATGCCTATTAGATAAACACTGGCAGCGATGGACTTCGTGCCTATTCCTTATGATAAACACTTAGGAATGAAAATAGAAAGGAACCTACTGACATGTATTGTAGAGAAATCCCTATACCAATACTATCAGCAATGATGATTAAGATGACCCTTAGGATAGATCCTTAGGGGAGAATAAATACGTAAACTTGGGTGGGTAATCGGATTAACTATTTGATAATTGAACATATTGACTATATTATTGTGGGTTGAAAACCCTATGTACTCACCAGGTTTCCCAACCTGACTCACTCAGCTTCTTTGTATCAAAGGTAGCGATACAAAGGTACATGCACAATGAGAGATTTAAGGACATGTAGACTGTAAGTATATTGAGACATCGTAAGTCTTCATTTATGCTTATGTTTGATATCAGTTATGACATCTCGAGTTTTAAAAATATAAACAAAACACATTTCTTTGAAAATTCTTTGATAATATCATTATCATGTTTTTGGGACAAATTCCGCATAATCAATCTTTTTAAAGGAATATTATGATTTAATAAGCATAAACAAATCGGTCTTTTCTGTCCGCAAAAATGGGGATGTCACATTTCATATGTTCATTTGTAATACAACATAGTTTAAAGGAATCCACAAATGCAAATGTGATTTTATGCATGAGATGATTTTTATTTTATTACTTGGGTAATTAAAAGATGACAATTTTTCCCTTCAGGGTGTACATAAGGAAGGTCCTCTTAACCAGTTTGCACATGAAAGGGAGTTATTTTTCGTAAATAAGGGATGTCGGTAAACTTAAATAAAGGTATGAATTCTCTCTGTCACTCTCTTTCTTTCTTTCTCTCTATCTTTTCTCTCAATCTCTCTCTCTCTCTCTCTCTCTCTCTCACACACACACACATACACACATTACTATGTCATATTTTGAATTTGCTTCTCATGAAGATGTGATACGTAGATATTTTATTGTTTGTGAAGAGGAAAACCAATATCACCCCAACCATCTTACATTCCGGATCGTACCGACTGTTTTGGTTTTTGTCAAGGGCATTTTCTTCATTTGTGGGGTTTATATTTCCATCATAACTCCGATCTTTTTTATGTGAATGCAATGTTTAATAGGGATAAAGAGGGAAACATTCAAAGTAACTCCATATTGGTTAAAAACACCACCATCTATATCACCACCTTGGGTTAAACATGCATCACTTAAAATGCTTGAAGGAACTGTGAGTTATATTCTTGCATAAGTACATTGTTATTAGAAGTTCGAGCTTAAATTAGCCTCAAGGTGATGGTATTCAGGTCCTACTTAAATTTGTAATGTCTTATTTACCCTTTTCTTTAAAATAATGGTATTTCCCATTAGTAATTCA